CTCAAGAATGGCCTTTGTTAAGTTTAAATTTATATCAGTGTTTACTTCCTTGGTTTGTTGATTACCATATTGAGGTGTTAAATTTACCCCCAGCTGGGTGATAAACGCTACATTGAGATCAGGAACCCGTGCCCGATCGCCTTCCGTTGAGAAGGTTAGGTAGAAGGGAGCGGGGTCGTGACAGAGGGGGCATGCCCCACTCAAGGGCTCAAAGGCATTGAGGCCTTGTTCTATTCATGTTCCATGAGCTCTCATATTGGAAGGGTTTGACCTTAAGCGTTCTCATATTTAGAATATTTGAGATTGACCATTGATCCCGAGAGTCATTGAAGGAGGAAAATCAGTGTGGATTGTACTAAACCCAGTGGAGGTATTCTCCAACAATTTTACATTGTGCTTCGTTTTATTTGTTTTATTGTGATTTTTTTATTCCCATAAGCAATGTGTCAAGTTTAATTTATTGAATAAAGGAGTTGTATTTAGTGTTAGCAAGTGAAAACCATTTTTTAGTGGTTATTTACTTATCTCACAGTGAGCATTTATTGTACTTGGATCATTATGAGTGATCTACTCGGTAAAAAATAAAAGAAAAAAATTAAAATTTTTATACATTGTGTTAGATCACATTGTCCAACTTTCACTTCTAGCATTAAGTTAAATGACTCGACGTTAAGGTATAAAGAAATGGTGATAAGGGTCTCCTTGCCTCAAATCTCTAAAGGCTTTAAAATAGCGCCAAGCATTTCATTAATGAGTACATAAAAGTGGGTAGACGAAAGGAATCCCTTAATCTAATTTCTCCATTTAGCACAAAAGCTCATCAGTTGAAGAATTTGGTCTAAAGAACTCATTCAACTCTACCATAAGCTTTCTCAAAGTCCAACTTACACATGATACCTCTCAATCCTTGAATAGAAGTGGAGTACTCATTTCTTGAGCGACCATTATACTATCTACAATTTGGAAATCTCTGCTGAAGGCAAATTGAGGACCTGATACTACCTCATGTATAACCTTTTTAAGACGAGAAGCTTTGTCGGACATTGAATTTGTCTCTGGTTCTCTCAGGTAGGTGCCTTCTTGTAATTGTCTTTCTTTTGATTAGTGAAAAATCATCGATCATCTTTACGCCTAGATGTAGTTACATTTGGGACAAACTATGTAAGATTTTGATTTTGATTTTTTTTTTTTTGGCATATTTTCTTTGTAACTTAACTTTATGTTTTGTACTTGTTGCTGATTCTATTTTTCTCGCTCTTTATTTGCAAAAAAAAAAATCAAATTGTCGGGTTTTGGAGCTTCCGCGCGCAACATATACTTGAGCAAGCTATAACTGATAATAAGGTGAACTTTATCAGCATAGTTCAGAAGCTAATAAAATTGAGAAAGCATTTTGTATGGAATCCCAGTGCAGCCCACTGCTTTGACAGGAGGTTAGACAACTCAAGACCGTAGATGACCTTGAGGATCAGGTAAGATGATCATGAAGTTTGTATACAGCCACTCCAACATCTTAGCTTTAGTGAAACATCACACCCGTGGGAGGGAGCTAATCAGCCCTCACATCACACACTTTGCAACCTCATTCTTGTCCGTTGGAATCCATTTTAATGTCGTTGCCAAGGGGCATGAAGTTAGTTGGCTGAGAAGAATGGGTAACTGCCCCTTTTCAAGGACCCTAGCTGCAAGGGAAGTTTAAGGCATAATTAATTAAATTATAGGTGTTTATGGGATGGGAGGATTTAAAAATGACATTTAAGATGACACATGCCCATTCGTTCATTTAGGAAACAATCAATTGGGTGAGACATGCCATCAAAACGCATGTTAATTATCTACCACACTGAACAATAAAAACAAAAAGATGGGGTAGCATCCACATGTTGTGGATGCTTGAAAGGTGCACAAGTACCTTTCAACTTTTTAGACGGACCCTAGCATCATCCAAAGGCCCAAAATAGTTTTGATTTTTATTTTTATTTAAAAATCATATTCAACAAAAAAATATTAAGTTATAGATATTATTTTTATATATAGTTTGAAAAGACATGGGGATTTAAAGTCTCATTGAGAACATGATATTTAATAAAGTAGAACAGAGAACCAAGATTCATATATCCGACCTCAATTAATTGGTAAAATGCTAAAATAATAATGATGATAATAATGATAGTAATATTATTTTTATATGAAACACTTAATAAAAATAGAGAATGGGGCTGGAGTCATTGTAGGAGTACCACATGAGTCCTAATTAAAAGTTTTTACCTCCATTCTCATTAATAGATTAAAAAATTGACTTTTTAAAAAGCAATCGGAGGCTTGTCATCCTCATTAACCTACCAAACAAAAAACAAACTTAATAAAAATAATTTGAAATTTTTTTATATAAAATTACTCTTGAGTTGTGTCAAAGGTATTCTAGTCAACGTTGTAATAGAAAGTATTTCTTGATATATTTATCCGATGTACCATATTAAATATATGGGTGCAGTTGGCATAGGGATGCATCCGTAGTTGTAGAGGTAAGGTACACCTTCAAATTTTATCATGGTATATAATTTTGATATAAAATGTTTTTAGGATTATCTCAAAACCTATTTTTATATCTAATTATAAAATTTTAAATTTAAAAAATCGTTAAAATCAAGTAGATCTATAAACATATGAAAATCTTGAGAATGGACGGTGTAGATAATATGTTGTAAAATGCACTATTTCTGAGACTGAAAAATCTTTTTATTTTTCTTGGTGATACATCTCGATGTCGAGATGATCAATCAAAGGGTTTTTCAACATTAAAACTACCTTTTCCAATGGATTTTTGAGGTGCATCCGTAGTACTACATTTTAAGGTTCCATCCTTATATAAACTTTCTCCAAAATATATCTACCTCTAAATTTTAAAAAACAATTATTTTTAGGGAATAAAAAATAAAAATCAAAACTCTTATGTGATAGTGCGATGTGGCATATGAACTAGTGGGAAGATACTTTTGTTTATCTGAACTACCTTTCTACCATTTGCAGGAGACTTTCTACCAAAAAAAAATATTGTGCAAGGCCGATAAAAGCGTACCATCATGTGCGAAAAGTAAAGACACAATGAGTGAAGGTGAGAAAGAAGACAAATTTATCCTTGGAAGAGCACATACGTTGTATCGGGTTTGCATCATTTCCTGAAATCCTTGAAAGGAACTCGAGAACGGGCCATAAAAGAGTTAAAATAATTCGTTTTATTTGAAAAGTATGTCCATGATCTTACAAAGTAAACCTGAGTTGAATAAAAAAATGAAAATGAAATCCAGAGGAAAGCCCCATAAACATTTAAAGGCGTTGTACGTAATGAAGTCATTTACCATTAGTACAAGGATGCATAAACATTTAAAGGCGTTGTACGTAATGAAGTCATTTACCATTAGTACAAGGATGCCTCAAGTACCGCACCAACTGATGTTAAATTTGATAGAAAAAATTTCCTGGTCAATGGAATTAATGGAGTCTTTTAATTCTACATACAATAGATCAAAATAATTGTGACTACTTTACACTAAAAGTAAAGGAAAAATTCATGTAGAGCCAATGCGTTATACAATCAAATTAGAGTCCACCCCAAAAAATTCACTAGAAGAGGTTGTGTTGATGCCCAAATATCCTCAAATTGATCATCTCAACATAAAGATGCATGGACATGTGAAAAAATAGATTTGAAGTTTTGGAAATAATATATCTTGTAACACATTTTTGTGCCGTCATTTTTAAGATTTTCATAAATCTTCTCAATTTCCACTATTTTTGAAGCTTTGAATTTTATAATTAAAGACAAAAATATATTTTAAGAAGATTTTAAACCATATTTCTCGATCCTCTTTGAAGTTGGGCTTTCCTTTGATGGTTTAGAGCTTTGGCTGTATACAAACCGCACCCAAAAGTAAATGGACTTATTACATACTTTTTCCATCTTTAAATTAAAGAAGGCTTTTGTTAGGCTAAACCTATAGTGCTCAACATTTATAAACATTTAGATACCTTTATTCTATAGTATAGTAACTTTTTGTTTAGGGATATTTTAAGTAATTAGTCAAGGGTAAATTAGAAATTTTTAATAGAAACGAAAACATTTATTAACAATATTGGCTAAATGAAATCATCGATATAGTGTGTGAAATCACCCACAAGATGCATTAATTATTTTTAACTGCTAATAAAATATCACTATTTTCTTATAACAATATCCATTTTACCCTTCTAAATGACTAAAAATACTCCTACTTGAAAATTTATGTATTACAATTCAATGGTATTTTAGTGTCAAAAAATACTGAGCACTTTCATGATCCATCACCAAGTGGTGTAGCCTAACAAAACCCATTAAAGGATGAGCATGTGATAGAGTATAGATTTGGATTCGGGGTGGCAATAGACCCAAACCCGACCCGGGACCCGCCGAGTATACCCAAGTGGATCCAAGTATGGGTCGAACATTTGGACCCAACAATTTGCGTTCGGGTCAAAAACTTGGATTGAAACATTATTCGTTTCGGGTTTCGGTGGACCCGACCAGTACCTATAAACTTTTGGAGATAAAATACTTGAAAGCTTATTTGTTTGGGTGTATCAAGGATCGCATACAATAAGAATTTATAATCATCTTTAGCTTTTAAACGACAAATAAGATGACTTAAAATCTAATGGCGAGTTGTGATATTGTGGCCAATAATTTGGGTATATTATGGTAAATAAAGACAAAAAAAAAAAAAGAAGCTCATAGTGAGGGTTGAAGGTGTCAATGGACCCGACTAGATCCGAGACCCTACAGGTTAGACTTGGGCCCGATGGGTATGGGTATGAGTCCAACATTTGGAACCGACAAATCGGGTCTAGGTCTAAATCCTAGACCTGAATATATTTGGATTTGGATCCAAGTCCAGCAATGCCCCACCCGTTACCATCCCTAATTTAGATCCCTCTCAATTTAGCCCCAACCATAGAAAATAATAGAAAAGTAAGGACCATACAATAGAATAGAAAGCAGGCCGTACAGCAGATCCAAATAAAAGGGAAACGAAAAAAAGTCAATCACCGAAGCATTTGCTCCACGCGCCAACAAAGCTCATATTCCCAACCCACTCCCTAGACCACTCCACCACCTGGTCAAACTCCTTAATGCCCTTAACATCCGCCCCGCTCCTTGTCAATGGTGGGAAGAAGAGCCAAGAACCAGTGGAAATTACAATCCCTAAGGTCAATGGAACCCTAACCACTTTTGGAAATCTCGGATAAGCACTCTCCCCAATCCTCCTCCCAATGGCAACCTCAATCCCTGTCAATAATCCATGCAATATAAAGAAGAGAGTGACCTCCCAGCTTGGTCTCTGGCCCCCAGTCATGTAGTAAAACATGAGCTCGTGCATTAGGCCTGAGACCACAAATGTGGCCATCAGCGCGGCTACTCTCGCACCCAAAGGCGGCCTGCCGGCTCGAGCCGAGACACCCCAAAGGTTCAGCACTGGCTCGTAAACAGTAGGCCTCAGCATGTTGGTCACTATCAGATTCCATCTCTGACCCCAAAACTCCTTCAAGGAGGATGACAAGTAAGGCTTGTTGAATTGGGGTTCTAATTGGGAACCCACTATCAGCTTCGCCATGACCGCCCAACTCCCTAGCACGACTTCTAGAGCGAGAAAGATGTGGAAGCAGTAGAGGATTAGGAGGGTGGTTGATGTGTAGAAGTGCTTGTAGTTGTAGAGGAAGATGATGAGGATTAGGAGAGAGGTCTTTATGGCAAGGTTGAGGACGGTCTTGAAGATGTAGCCGCCGCGGCCGCCGCAGTGGGGTGGTTGTGTTTTCTTCCTGCTACTCTCATCATTTTTTTTCTTGTTTTGTGTCTCTCGCACATCACCTTCCTTGACCTTGATTGGGAAGGCCGTCACCGCCACGAAGTTGATGAAGGAAGACGTGCTCCAGGGTCGAGAGAGAGGGCCGATGTCGTAGCAGAGGAGGACGAGCTTGAAGCAACATAGCCAAGTGAGGAAGAAGGCCGATATCGATCGGAGATGGACGGTGGAGAATTGCCAGGGCAGGATGAAGAGGAGGTAAAGGACGGGTGAGATTGCCAAGAGGCGTGGGATCTTCGGGGATAGTCTTGGTATCACAGTGTAGGAGTAGGCAAGGGTGGGGACTAGGACGGTGGAGACGCGGACCAGAGCCTTCAGTTCCGCCATTAATGATGGGATTGCCTCCTTCCAGAAGAGCTAATAGCGAGGAAGAGAGTCAAAATGTTGAGAGACAAAATGGAAACTGCTTTGTTTTTGGGGTTTGCTGGAGGTTTTAAGGGAGGATTTTTATAGGGGGCATGGAAAGAGGGAATTTATTTGGTAAAGAAGACCGTAATATCTAGAGAAAGAGAGATAGAGAGAGAGGGGGGCACTTTGATTACACGTTTGTGCTACAGAGAGAGAGAGAGGAGGGGGCTACTTTGATTACTACGTTGTGCTACAGAGAGAGAGAGAGAGGGCTACGTTGTATTACACTAGTTTGTGCTACAGAGAGAGAGAGAGAGAGGGGCACTTTGATTACACATTTGTCCTACATAGAGAGAGTGGGGGCTTGTTGAGGAGAAAAGGCCAGAAGAAGGTTTTAGATTTGGGGTTGAGGCTATGGGTTTGACACGTTTTCAGAGAAGCGTTTAGGTTTTCGTTAAGGCTTGCATCGCAGATTGAGAAAGAGTGATGATTTGGATTTCGTTAAGGCTTGATGTGAGAGAGGGAAGATTTTGATTTCTTTAAATGTGTGTATGTGAGAGAGAAGATTTTGATTTCGTCATGTGACAGAAGATCTTGATTTTTTTTGGATAATTTAGTGGGAAATACAGGCCGAACTCATTTTTTTTAATAGATTAAAAAGTTGCATTTTGAAGATATTATAATTGGGGGTGTCAGCACTTTTTCAGAGTTACTTTTGAATGTGTTGTAATAAAGATATCAACGGTAGAAATAGATACCATAATGTGATAATTGGAGCTCAATAATTCTATTGCCAAGACCAAAGCGATTCTCAAGAAAATCTGGATTTCATTAAGGCATGATTGATTTCATCAAGGCATGATGAGAGAAAAAGAACGAAGAAAGAGGAACTGGTTTTCGTCAAGGGATTTGCGCATATTGATGAGAGAGAAGGGGAGGGAAGATGGAAAGAAAGGAGTCGTAGCAAGAGATGTCACATTTTCTGACTTTTTAAGGCAAAGACGGTGCGCACAAAGAACATGCGGTGGCCGTGGCTTGTGGGGCAAAATGTTGAGGGTTTCAACAGAAAAAAAAAAAAATATAACTAAGGGAAAAGTTTATATATAGCCGAGGCTCTAAATAAACAAATTACAACTTACTTCAAAAATATTACTAGAAGAATGGATTTCAAGTGTTGAAATATTGCATCTTGAAACTCATTTTTGAACCAATAATTTTTAAAATTTTCAAGTTTTCATAGATCTATTCAATCTACATTAATTTTGAATCTTTAAATCTTATAATTAAAGATAAAAATAGTTTTTAAGTCTATCATAAAAATTCCATTATTGAAACTATATTTCTAGACACTATTTGAAGGTGGTCTCTAGCTTCATTGTTCAGAGCCTTGGCTCTATATAAATCCCATACAAATATGAAAAACATTTATAGAAGTGCGAGGCCCTAAACAATCAAATTAAGGAGAACCACAAAAATTTCACTAGAAGAGGTTGTTTTGATTCCCAAAACTCCTCAAATTGATCAATACCGCCTCAAGATGCATGGACATGATAAAAAATAGATTTTCAAGTTTTGGAAATAGTGCATCTTGTAATGTATTTTTGGATTGTCAATTTTCAAGATTTTCAAGTATTTATAGATATGCTCGATCTATACTATTTTTTAAGCTTTAAATGTTATAATTAGAGATGAAAATAAATTTTGAGGCCATCACAAAGATTTCTGATATTGAAATAACATATTTCGGTACTATTTGAAGGTGCGCCCTACTTTAATTGTTTAGGACCTCAGCCCTATAGAAACCACACCCTACAAATATAATTTAATAATATAAATATATAATATATAATATATAATATATAATATAAAATAATATAACACAAGTATATAATAATGAACTAATATAAAATATTATATTATATTAAATATTATGAAATATAATTAATATATTTGTATATATTATTGAATAGAAATGAAATAAAATATATAATATAATATATTATAAATAGTGAATAGAGAGTTCACGTGTGAAAATAAAATTCGAGAAATACTTTCCAATGGGTTGAGGTGTGATTTGGTTTTCATATAGAGCGAACTATTTTAGGGTAAAATGTTTTTTTATGAGTTTTGTTTTCATATATTTTTCTTTTCATTACTTAATATGTATAAGACAATTTTACCATATAAAAAATATTTTGGCACCAACCAAGCCCCCTTCCCCTGCTTGGTGCTTTACCTCGCATGTAGCTCATAAGCTCTTTTTTTTTTTTTTCGACGATGGCTAGATCACCTAATTAAAAGTTCACACAAAACCGTACATTGATTTTGCTTTTTGAAACATTTTTAAGTGACTCACGCCTTCAAATATGTCTAATAAACATCAAACTCTTATCAAATGCAATAGAAATCAGTGTAAACCCAAACCTCCCTTGCGGCTAAAACATCAACCAGTCTGAAATGAAAAAGAAATATACCAATATTGTTTCATTTAAGTTCGTTATATGAAACACGCTGTATAAGTTGTTGACAAAACTAATGCTACATGCACGAATCAAAGTCTGGTCGCATGAACCCCTAAGATGCATTTCCAATTAAACATTAAAAAAAAAACAAAAGAAAGATGCTGTTCCAATAAACATTAAAAAAAAAGAAAAACATGCATTTCCAATTAAACATTAAAAATAAAATGCATTTCCAGTTATTTATTGGTAAATAGTAGGGGAGGTTGGAATAGAGAGAGAGGGGGGGAAAGGAAAATTAGAGCACGTGGGCTACGCGGATTTGCAAGGAGTATCTCGTGATATGCGAGATCACGTGGGTTACGCAATAGAATGGTAAAAACGACACGCTTTCTGTGGGTCCGTGGACAGTTGATTCGTATATATTTGTCCCACTTCGTGATTATCTTTTGAGGGAAATTTTAGGACTAATTTAGTGGAAACGGAAAAAGTTTATATATGGTTGTAATTTTTTATTTTTTTTTGAGAGAAATTGAGGGCTTTATTAATAAACGATTAAAAGAAAATTACAGAATTTGAGACTAAAAGTTTCAACTTAAGCAGTGCGTCCTTTGGCAATGCCTCCTTTGGCAAGGAAATCCTTTGATACATTGGCTTCACGAAAAAAATATACAAAGGAGAAAAGAAAAAGCCTAGACATGTCACAAATTTGAATCAAAATAGACTGGAATTCTCAATGCAGTTTTTTTCACCTATTACACCATTTGATGACATTCAATGAATCATCTTCCACAACACAATAGGACCCTAAATTCCTTACTACAAAAAGTTTTGAACAATTGAAGAGAGTCAAACACCTTAAATTCCTTGTCACAAAAAGTTTTAAACCATTAAAAAGAGTCAAAGAGTGTTGTACAACGATATTCTCTTCCAGAGGGCCTATATAAGAGAAGACAACATCTCCATTCTAATCCCTCACTACTCCTCCATAACCAGTTAAACCCGAGTTTCCTAAAGAGCTACCATCAAAATTAAGTTTAAATACCCTTCCAAAGGAGGTACCCATCTCCCCTTAGGCCTACACTTAATAGAGCCCAATTGGAAAATATTTGATAAGTTTTTCCTAACATCAACTTCCAGAATATGTTTCCCAACTTTTATAATTGAGCCAAATTGAGTGTAATATTTTCTCGAAAATTCTCTCAACAGGCACACTTATCCCATCAACCACTCTTCTATTTCTTTCCTTTAAAACCTCCCATAGTATCAATCCTCTGGCTATTTGCCAAATCACCACTCCTGTTTGTGGTAGCACAGATAACCCTATGTTTGAGATAATGCCCTTAACTTCCGAAGGCATAGCCATAGTAACCCCAAGTTGGTCAAAAAACTAGTGCCAAATTTTAAATGTAAAAGAACAATAGAGAAAAAGATGAGCATCTGTTTCAGCAACACTTCTACACATTAGGCAGATATTTGGAAAAATCTTACCTCTCTTTATAAGATTATCGACTGTGAGAATCTTATGTTGCACTGCCAACCATAGGAAGGCTTGCACCTTAAGCGGCAAATACCATTTCCAAATAATGGCAATTTCAGGCATAGACCATCTCCAACTATCATGGAAAGGTAGCTTATACATTGACTTTATTGAGTATAAACCATCTGTATCAATATCCAAAACAACCTCATCAGATGCATTATGCGGAATAAAAATTTCATTAAGTACTATTAACAATCCAACATACTCTCGAAAAATCTCTTCCGAAATTCTATTATAGGGGAGAAAAATATTCAATACAATTTGATTACCCCTGATTTCAAAAATATCAGCAATAACAACATTGGGGTTATCCATATGCTGAAAAAATAGTGGAAAAACATATTTCAAAGGTGAAGAGCCTAACCACTTGTGATGCTAGAAGGAGATATTGCGACCATCACCCAAACTCCATCGAATGTCCCTGTGTATCAAAGATTTACATGAGTTCATAGATCTCCAATAATAGGATGTCCCCCTTATACCATTTCTCAATCCAACCCCCATTTTATATCTATCCTCTCCATACTTAGCATAAATAATTTAATACCACGGTTGATTTTTGAAGTTTAAGCTTCTCCACCATTATTTGCAGAGTAAGGCTAGGTTTACAATTCTAATTTTCCTTATTCCCAACCCGCATTCCTTTTTAGGAGTGCACACCCTATCCCAACGAAAAATATGGTACTTTTTTGAGTTTTCAAAAGAGCCTTAGAGAAAATTCCTTATTAAAGAATCAATTTTCATGGCAATCTGAGAAGGAATTTACAACAAAGACATCTGATAAATTAGTAAGTTTGACAAACACTCTTTTACCAAGGTAATCCTTCCTCTCAGCAATAAGTATTTATACTTCCACAAATCAAACTTAACTTGTATTCGTCGGATCACTTTATCCCAAACAGCCAAAGGTAGTCGGCCATCTGAAATTAGCAGCCCCAAATACATGATTGGAAAAACTTCTACCTAACATCCTAACATCTCAGCAATCTCAAGGACCAAAGAATCATTACAATTGATACCAATCGCTAAAGATTTCTCAAAATTAGCCTTAAGACCCAAAGCCACTTCGCAACAATTCAAGAAAGTAGCTATATTGTCAATCTGATCATACTTAGCCTCACAGAAAAACAGAGTATCATTTGCATATTGTAAATGCGAAATGCAAAGACCATCATTAGGCATATGAAAGCCCATGAAATGCCCTTTAGATTCAACATTACGTACAAAACGGCT